GGGGACCTTTGGTCCTAGACAGATCAGGCCTTTTGGTCTCAACGCTACAGAACTCTCCTCACTGCCTCATCATGCAATGTGCACCAATGTCAAATTTGTGGCGCGCGATGGCCATTTCTGATGCAGAACAGAGTTTGCAAGCCGGCCAGTTACAACCCACTCTCACCTCCAGAACCCCTTCTCTGTTGGAGACTTTGCATCAAATCCCCTCAACAATCAAGTAGCCCATCAGCCTCACTACAGCGATGTTCGCTTTGGCATGCGCTGTTTTAGCCCCTCTCCCCCACCAAACCTCCCACAGACGTTATGACCTTCCCTAGCCCAGGATGCAGCCTCGTGTTCACAACCATTGTTTGTGTGCCTACCTGTTCGCTCATGCCATATCGTCTGGGAATATCGGCAACCTTGATTCAACACTGCTGATATCTTCTTCTCGGGCTAGTTCCCTTGATTCCATCAATATTTGGCTTTCCTTGCTTAAGGCGCATCCAGCATGACCGCAAGAAGTACGTCATCTCCAAGTCGAGTCCCTACCCAGTCTGATGAAACTGACTGACTCCTGCGCAGGCAACATCGCGCCCATTATTGACGTCGCCGGTGCGGGCTTCAGACTCTCGCTGCTTCTCAATGCGATTAGTTCCGAGTTCTCAAATGCGGGCCTCGAGGTCAAGAGCATATCAAAGGGCGTCACAATGTTCTCGATGATGCTGAAGCACACGGGTCAAGTTCTTCAGGCAACAGACTCAGTTCACTCCCAGGAAGCTATCGAGACAGCAAAGTCGATTGCAGATGAAAGCACAAGAGTCTTTGATGAGATCAAGGACATGTGGGTGCGTGTGAGTGCGCAGGACACAGCCAGCACAACTGCCTACACTCTTCAACAGAGGTTCAGAAGGACGTTCAGAAAACACAGGGTTGTATATCTGCTCGCACAACTCGAAAGTCTTCAGTTAAGCCTGTCGGTCATGCTGCAGATAGTCCAGCTAGGAAAGGTGATGGCGTCCACCTCACGAAGGTTTGACATTTCGTCAAGTGTATCGGAGACAATTACTAACGATGAAATTGCAGCGACTCCCCGGAAGAGGTCTCTTTCAAGAAAGAAGAGATCACTCAGGAACGCGCCGAGGCCCAAAATGCTTTGATTGTCCGATACTGGCAGATGAGTAATATGGACGCATTATTTGAGGCCTCGCAGCGAGAAGAGGAGGAAGATAGAAAATCATCCATGAACAACGGCGCCGTGCATGACGACCAGTCGCTGGCGGTTCCTGTAGACAGCTCTCAACACAACTCTAGCCCCATCGCTCCCGAGCACCCCCCCTCGACCGCTTTGGTGAGACTACCAGTGTTTTCTCTCGGCGAGCTTGATCACATGCTTCATCAAATTCGGGATTCTCCACGAGATATGGTTCAGGTATCCGATCGCGCGATCGACCCTCTCCTCGAAAGATGGACCATTTGGCGTGAGATTCGAGAGAGGCGCCACAACCGTGAGTCTGGTTCCAGATACACCCCTTCAGTGCACAATCTCAATGAGGAGGACGAGGAGATCCCTTTCCATGAACGATATCGAGAGCGTGACGGGAGCCCTCGTGGCTATTACCTGGAAGGCACAACGACCGACTGGAGGAAGCCGAATTCTGCCTCTGCACGCCATGAAGCATTCAAGAGACGGAAGCAGTACTCTGGTTACCAGCCAAGCGTGAGTGCGGCAAGCAGCGACATGGAGGATTCCCCCGGAGGTAGCCCTAGCTCCAAGAAGCGATCCTCGCGGCGATACGTGCTTGACTCAGGTTCAGAATCATCTGCCTCCGAAGCCGAAATGGCCCAGCCCAAACCTCGGCGCCGGAGTAGCGGCAGCCCTGGTGTTGAACGGAAGATACAAGCTGCTGGCGGAGACGCACCCGTAGCACACGCCTTCACGGCGCCAGTTGAACCACCGCCTTGGATCACAGCCGCTACCGCTGGTGTCAACCGTCCGCCCTCAACTCAGCCCTCCGTGACGTCGGCTCAGTCAACGGCATCAAGATTGTCATCTCCTGCATACCACCCACCCGGCCATCGTCCCTGGGTAACGCCCGATCAGAACCCGATCCACCACAGCGTCTCGTCGCCTCTACTGCCAGCACAGATGCATAATGCCCCGAATTCAATGGTGCCTCCACAGGCAGTTGCATTCGGACGATATGGCGGCCAAATGCATCCACAGGGACATCCGTTGATACAACAACATGGGTATCCGCAACTCACTGGATACCTACCTCCTTCTTCTCAAACTCGATACATTCCTCAGTCCTCAACCCGGATGGGCCTATCGCCGAGACCGGTGTCTCAAGATGGCAAATCCGCAAGATCACCGTCCCGATTGTCCCAACATAACACCACATCACGCATCCATGATGAGAAGAGGCACTCGAGGGAGAAATCTACAAAGCAAAATATCCGCGAAAGTGCCACTAAGGGCCTTCTGGGCGCTGGAGCTATTGCAGGGTTTCTAGAAGCATTGGAGGGCTTAAGTCTCTAATCATGCCTCGTCGTAATGTATCATAATCTTTAGTCAGGGTTTCTGTGGAAATTGGTAGTTGTGCCTAGCACTGCTGGACCATGTTAATCTAACGATGTCGGTCACATCAGTATAATTTCGTCACTTCGTTCTTCCCAAATATGTCCCTATAGGAATATATGATATTGCATCCTTCACTTATGGCGACCCTGCTGCAACAATGCACCCTTCTAGATCAGATATGAAAGAGAGAATGCTTGTGTGAGATAAACCAGCTCTCATTCGGAATTGGCCGCAAGTTCGGCCGTTGGACAGACACGAGGGATTCGCAAGATTGGCTAGAGCGCTCATCCCGGCTATGGTAATACAACATGTTCAAGAGCATTCTGATCTCTGAAAATTCTGGACGTTCGAACCCGCCGAGCCTGCGGCAAAAAACGTCGGTGCAGCACCCCATACTAAACACCGTAGTCAGACCGCATTATCCTCCCTCTATAGAATTCCAAGACACTTTTCTACTACCCTTTCTCAGGGATTATTGTTAGATATTACTATCATTATGTAGCTTATTAGCTCGTAATTGTAACTAGAGAATAAAATCTACCGTTTCATTCCTAAAACTTCAAAATAACTTAGGGGTGGTCTAGTCATTACTTCGCTGTACTACTTATTTTCTCCACAGGCTCGCCGGCTGATGGTTATCAATTTTCAGCCTGATCAGTCTGTCAGTACCGGGTACAAACTATCATCCAAAGCGATCAATCACTTAATCTCCCTGAGACGAAGACTGGACCAGGGAATTCCCCTCATTGAGGCAGTCTGCCGACTAGTTCACGTGTGACAAAGACGTCATCCTGCCAGGCGAGACATGGGACCAAGGTCTCGCTACGGATGAGATTGCCGTTGGGGGCTCACTACCCGTGCCTCAGAGAATAAGTGTAGCCTTCCCAATCCTCCAGCCAATGAGTGTCAGGAAGTTTTTGCATCACTGGATGCAGCTGACGAGGTCCCTGTTCCCTCTGGCGGGATGTTATATGAGTGTGGTGGTTGGCGGCCTTGCAGGTTCAAACTCCTATCTATCCGCATTGTCTGTCGTAGACACCGTTGGATCTTCTGTTATTTTCAAAGCAGAGGCGGGTACTGGTCGTGCTTGGTGACAGTGGCAGATATGGTGGCAGAGATGAAGATCCTGAAAGCAAGAACAGTTGCCTCGCCTTACTCGTCCACACTGGTCACGCTGGTCATGCTTGTACATGTGGCTACACCGCCAAAGACGATCGTCAATGCTAAGGAGAGGACAGTGATCTGGGTAAGTTTCGACACACCGTTTCAGCTTGAACCCAAATTGTGCATTCAGAATAAAATGTGTTAGTTGTATTCTGCCCACGCAGGTACTCTCTAGGTACTGGTGTAGCAACGGCTCTAGCTTCCACTCGTCGGTTGCATGACCACCTAGAATCACTATCCAGTATCCAGGCAAAAAGCATAGATCGCCTTCGCATTATCGCGAGGCACCCACATGCCATTCAAAGCCAAGGGTTGTGTCGAGTCGAGTCGAGGCTTGGATTGGGCTTGCCGAGTGGCTAATTGAGGATTGGGTTAAACCGCTCCCCAATGTCCCCGCGACGGGGCCCAAGGGAACCAATGCGCGCCATCCCAGGGGCACCTCGGGTCGGTTTGGGGCACCAACTTCATGCAGCCTCAATTTTGGGCGGTGCCCGTTGGTTGTGGCTCGTGGCGGCCCCAGGCGTGTCTTGTAAGAGGTACTCTTTCCCACCTCGCCCGGTACCTCTCCCTGGCTGTCCCTTTTGTGCCCGCTGATGCCATTTGGGCATCTGCAGCGACGATCTCGCTCTCAGGAGGTTCACAGTAGTTGCGCCTCTCTTGCAGTGGACAGTCCATCACCATCCACCCTCCCTTTCCCACTAGCAGACCTTCCTCCCTTCCTCTGGATCGAGAAACCACCCTACATTTTTTCCCTATCATTACTCCTATTCTCCGTCCTCGCGCCCTACGTTCCTCACCGTACACTTTACACTCTGCGCCCGAGGGCCCTCCCTTCTGTCGCCTTCAGACCCTGTTAAGTCATTCTGCTTGGGCGACACATTTTGCCGTTTATCCGCTTCGCACCTAGCGTCTTTTTGGGCATGCCCAGATCTATCCCACTCGCCGCCCAGTCCAACCCATCCAACCAACCCTGTATTATCTGTCGGAGTCGATCGAGTTAACCAGCTTACAAGATATCTCCCACTCTGCAACCACCAAACTTCTCGTACCTATCGACGACTCTGTTGAGCGTAAAATCTCCTTCTCCATCACCAATCACTTGCCCGCGAAATCGTCTTCGGTGAACAAGGTGGCTCTCCGGCCATTTTGTGTACGCTGCTGGACGCGGCCTAGAACCAGGGCCCTTTGGCATACCAAAACCGCCTGCAACCATCCTGTCTCGACCGCGCCTCATGAGGAGGAACACTCTATAGAGGATTTCGCATCGTCCATGTCTCGCCCGGACGAGACACTGGCAGCCGCTGCGGCAATTCTGCGTGGATTGGCCAAGGGCTCGACCTCGTCCACCTACACCAATGGCTTGAAGCTTCCACCATACAAGCTCCCTGGAGACGATACACCGGGAAAAGAAGACTTCGAAGCTGAAATAGCCGCTCTTGCAAGACGGATACACTACCTGGAATCTCGGGCGGATGTTGTTGGGCGCTCACTGCCAGATACTCCAGGTGAATTTCAGAGCCCGGCTTCGCCGTTGTCCCGCCCAGTGGAACCACGGGGTTCTCTGGGCGAATCTGGCGCTGATTTCCCTGCAGACTCTTCTGAGAGAACACCTATCAATTACAATCATTCGAGGCGCGTCAACAACCTTCTCGCTGCCAGAGATTCCTTTCGACCTTCGGAACCGGACCGTGCAGTGAGCGAAGATGATATTAGCATATTGCGAGAACATGTCGAGAGGCAGGCGGAGCAGATAAAGAGTCAGCGAGACACAATTGCAGAGATCAGTCGCGGTCTACGGAATTCGGAAGAGCAGGCCAAACAAGCCTTCATGCGGGTGGAAAATGAAGACGTTTCGATCTTGGAGAGGGAGCTGCGGAAGCACCAGCAAGCAAACGAGGCGTTCCAAAAAGCTTTGCGTGAGATCGGTGGCATCATCACACAGGTTGCCAATGGCGATTTGTCCAAAAGAGTCCAGATCCAAGCTACTGAAATGGACGATGAAATTGCGGCCTTCAAAGTCACCATCAACACGATGATGGACCAGCTGGAGATCTTCGGCAGCGAGGTCACTCGTGTCGCCCGCGAAGTAGGAACCGAAGGCATTCTGGGTGGACAGGCTCAGATCAGCGGAGTGCATGGCATATGGAAGGAGTTGACGGACAACGGTAAAGCTTCTAATTTGTTGTTGAAAGGATCTGAATTAACGCTTGAGCAGTCAACATAATGGCAGCGAACCTGACAGACCAAGTCAGGGAGATTGCAACCGTCACCAAGGCCGTTGCACGTGGTGATCTCAGTCAAAAAGTACAAAGTCGCGCAAAGGGCGAAATATTTGAACTACAGCATACTATCAACACCATGGTGGACCAACTCAGAACGTTCGCCACCGAAGTCACTCGCGTTGCCACTGATGTCGGAACGGAAGGCGTGTTAGGTGGACAAGCCCAGATCGAAGGTGTCCAAGGTACCTGGAATGAATTGACCAAGAGCGTGAACGCAATGGCAGACAACCTCACGACACAGGTCCGAGACATCGCAATGGTGACCACAGCTGTGGCAAAGGGCGATTTGACGCGAAAGGTCACTGCGAGCTGTAAAGGAGAGATTCTGCGACTCAAGATTACGATCAACAACATGGTTGATCAACTACAGCAGTTTGCCCAGGAAGTCACAAACCTGGCCAAAGAGGTCGGAACCAACGGTGTTCTGGGAGGTCAAGCTACGGTGCACGACGTCGAAGGTACCTGGAAAGACCTTACCGAAAATGTCAACGGCATGGCAATGAACTTGACAACTCAAGTACGAGAGATTGCTGCAGTCACCACCGCTGTCGCCAATGGCGACTTGTCGAAGAAAGTTACCGCCGATGTCCAAGGCGAAATTCTCGACCTGAAAGTGACCATCAATTCAATGGTTGATCGACTAAACACCTTCGCATTCGAAGTCAGCAAAGTAGCGAGAGAAGTCGGCACAGACGGAACACTTGGAGGGCAGGCCAAGGTCGATAATGTCCAAGGCAAATGGAGAGACTTGACCGATAATGTGAATACGATGGCCTCGAACCTGACAGATCAGGTACGAAGTATCTCGGACGTCACACAAGCCATTGCTGCTGGAAATCTGGACAAGAAAATCGAGGTACAAGCACAAGGTGAAATTTTGACACTGAAGGTCACTATCAATAACATGGTAGACCGCTTGGCGACCTTTGCCCATGAAGTGCGACGAGTTGCTCGCGATGTCGGTGTCAATGGCAAAATGGGTGGCCAAGCCAACGTTCACGATGTCAGTGGCCGATGGAAAGAGATCACAGAGGACGTCAACACCATGGCCGAAAATCTGACTGCGCAGGTTCGTGCATTTGGTGAGATCACGGACGCGGCAACGGAAGGAGATTTCTCAAAGTTGATCAGCGTCAATGCGTCCGGTGAAATGGATGAATTGAAGAGGAAGATCAACCAAATGATTTCGAACCTCAGAGACAGCATACAGAGAAACACAGCGGCGCGTGAAGCCGCCGAATTAGCCAACCGGACAAAGTCCGAATTTTTGGCAAATATGTCCCATGAGATCAGGACCCCTATGAACGGCATCATTGGCATGACACAACTGACGTTGGACACCGACGATCTGAAACCGCACTCGCGAGAGATGCTCAACACGGTTCACAACCTTGCAAACAGCTTACTGACCATCATTGACGATATCCTGGATATTTCAAAGATTGAAGCCAACCGTATGGCGATTGAGGCTATTCCATACACAATCCGGGGTACTGTCTTTAACGCACTGAAGTCCTTGGCTGTCAAGGCGAACGAGAAGTCATTATGTTTGGCATTTGATGTGGACAACTCGGTACCGGACTATGTCGTTGGCGACCCATTCCGGCTAAGACAGATCATCCTCAACCTGGTAGGCAACGCGATCAAGTTCACCGATCAGGGGGAAGTCAAAGTGACGATCAAAAAATCCAAAGATCTTTTGTCGAACTGCGCAACAGACGAGTTTCCGTTCGAGTTTGTGGTCTCCGACACTGGGATAGGCATCCAGTCGGACAAGCTCGACCTGATCTTCGACACTTTCCAGCAAGCGGACGGCTCAACGACAAGAAAATTCGGCGGTACCGGGTTGGGCCTGTCTATATCGAAGCGCCTGGTCAACCTCATGGGAGGTCAAGTCTGGGTCACCTCCGATTTCGGGCACGGTAGCGAATTCCACTTCTCGTGCATTGTCAAATTCGCAACGGACGACATCAGTGTCATCAGTTCCCAGCTTTATCCTTTCCGGAAGCATAAGGTTCTTGTGGTTGACAAGGGCGTGTCCAAGTTCTTTGAACGCGTCCCTGCAATGATTGAGGAGCTTGGGCTACAAGTCAGAGTGGTGAAAGACGAAGCAGATGTGCCAGATCCTGGCATCTTCACCGCCGAACGCAATCGCAAAAACACCGACGGAGGCTATGATGTCATCGTCATTGATGAACTCCAGACTGCACAGAAACTGCGAGAATTGGACAAATTCAAGTACATGCCCATGGTTTTACTGAACCCTACTGTGTCTATCAGCCTCAAGACTGTACTTGACCTTGGTATCTCTTCATACATGACCACGCCCTGTCAATTGATCGATCTGGGTAATTGCATGATCCCGGCTTTGGAGGGCCGGTCTACGCCCGTCATCAAGGACTACAAGAAATCCCTCAACGTGTTGTTAGCTGAGGACAACGAGGTCAATCAAAAGGTGGCCATCAAAATTCTGGAAAAATATAACCACGTGGTGACGGTAGTGGGCAATGGGTTGGAAGCCGTCAATGCCATCAAAAACAACCGATTCGACATTGTACTTATGGACGTGCAGATGCCAGTGATGGGTGGGTTCGAAGCCACACGAGAGATTCGGCAGTATGAAAAGGAGAGGGGACTGCCTAGAACGCCCATCGTCGCTCTAACCGCCCACGCCATGCTCGGAGATCGCGAGAAATGCATCCAGGCACAGATGGACGAATACCTGTCCAAACCACTGAAACAGAACCTGCTTATGCAAACGATTCTGCGAGTGGCTTCCGACAGGGTGACCGATATTTTCAACAAGCAGGCACGATCTAAATCCAATGGAGCTCGTAATGGCACTGGCGGTGGTGCGGACGGAAAGGACGCCCATTCAAAAGCTGGGGATTCTCGAGGGACATCGAGCTTGAGGCCCCCGTTCAGCGAGAGGTCGGTGACGGCGTCAGGGCCAGTGAATCATGGCAGTGTTGAGAGTCCTTCATTGGGCACAGATGGCGAGCCCGATCCGATGTCGGCAGCTAATAGCAGCGTACGTTCGATGTCATGGTCGGGCTGAAGACAGATCAGAGCTAATTGGCGTGACCAGGTTCTTTTGAGGGCTCACAGTCAATGAAGGTGTTACTTCTGATCGTTGCTGGACCTCTGCAATTCTCCCAAGCATCAATTGATGAGATTATGTTCTGGGCTCCCATATTTGTTGACAGCGTGGAGTACTTCGGGTTTGGCTCTCTCTTTGGATGTTTGCATTGCGATGTGACTTTGTACTTTTGATTTGCGGATCTTCCCAGGTTGATGCAGGACGAGATGGATTATGCATTGGCTAGTCAGCCGGTGCAGTGTCTGTACGGTATGGATTGAAGACGTTCATGAGAAGTCGATTGCTTGTAGGTCAAGACAGACCATGCATAGGCTGGACATGGGTACGGAAATCGGTCGGTGTCAGAGATCCTTTAACAGAGCCGAGGCGAGTCCATAAATCGCTCATATATTTCATCTGGAATCTCCATGGAACCACCAGATCTTGTCCATATAAAAGGGATCCGTACAAATGCACCATGTTTGTACGACGGCCACAGTAGTTCTGTACTCCCTGTTTGTGCCCCCAATTAGCCGATCTCAGTGGAGTCGATCTTCACTGTGATGTAGCGGAAACTTGTAGAGGGCAGATGCCCAGCCTTTCCGGAGGCAGTAGAATCCCCGGATTCCCGAAGGAACAAGGCCTGTCACTAACAGCAAACAAAGAAAGCCAGTTTGTGCGAAAAACATTGGTGGAGACAAGTCTTGTACGAAGAAGGGAGGGGCGGAATGATCTCCCTCGACAGACTTTCAGCAACATCCAAACTTGGTGACGCATCTGGCATGTAATATGATCTCGCTCCCTCTTCTATTCGACCTTCACTCGAGCACTCTTCCTTTCCCGCGTTTCTGTACCTGTCGGACAGTTCCCCACAAGTGTTCGACATGAGTCGCGCATGAGGTCCATTACTGGCTCCGTACTCCGAACATGTCACAATCCGTCGATGAAGACGCTCAGTCGGGCGCTGAAGCTTCGATAACCGACTCTGGTATGGTCGCTGCTCAAGCCGCGACAGACAATGATCCGACCTCCAATCCATCTGCGCCTCGCCTAAACCCACGGAGTTGCGTCACATGTCGTCGCAGAAAAGTTCGGTGCAACAAAGAAAACCCATGCGCCAACTGTATAAGAGCGGGGATAGAGTGTGTTTTTCCTGGTCCTGGAAGAGCACCTAGAAAACCGAGAAAGCCACCCGATGCGGAGCTGTTGGCCCGGCTGCGCAGACTGGAAGGCGTGGTTCATAGTCTTGGTGCGCAGGTGGACGAGAACGGTATCGTGTCTCCCACTGCCGCAGGTTCGACAGATATCCGGGCACGCTTCGGCGATGTACAACCAAGCGATTCACCAGCCTCCGATCGCTCGGAGTCGAAAAGACAGTCTATTGACAAGCATCTCGGTCGCCTCGTGATCAGTGAGGATCGCAGCCGCTATGTGAACAACGCGTTTTGGACAGGCATGAGCGATGAGGTGTGTTGTCTCTTGGCTTGTGCGAGGTAAGACCGGCTAACAGGTTTATTCTGACAGATTGCTGAAATGCGGGACTTGCTCGACCCGTCAAGCACCGACGACGAAGATGAGATTCTTTCCCCCGAAACCGATCGCCAGTCGAACCACCAAGCCTTCCTATTTGGTTACTCATCAGTCATGCAGGATCTGAGAGAGCTACATCCCACTCCGAGTCAAATTTTCATTCTTTGGGAAGTTTTCAAAGAGAATGTGGACCCGGTGGTCAGGATACTCCATCGACCTACAGCCAGAACAATTCTCATGAATGCTGCGAGCAGTATCGATCGAGTCTCCAAGCCAGCAGAAGCCTTGTTGTTTGCCATCTACTTTGGAGCCGTAGTCAGCTTGACTCCTGAGCAGTGCCAGCAACTATTGGATGAGGACAAGCAGTCACTAATAAAGAAGTACCGGTTTGCAACAGAACAAGCTTTGGCCCGTGCGGACTTTTTGAACAGTTCCAGTCTCATGTGCTTGCAGGCACTGTCATTTTTCCTCATCTTTGTTCGGCATTGTGACGATTCAAGATTGGTATGGGCATTGGGAGGGTTAGCTATGCATCTGGCACAGTCGCTGGGCATCCACCGTGATGGAACGCATTTCGGATTGAATCCATTTGACACGGAAATGCGACGCCGGTTATGGTGGCAGATATCTCTGCTAGATAATCGAGCTGCCGAAGACCATGGTGTAGATCCTTCATTCTCCCACGAGTTTTACGATACTCAGGTCCCTGCAAACCTGAACGACGACGATATCTATCCCGGAATGAAGTTCTGGCCCGCAGAAAGAGTGGGAGCGACCGAGATGACGTTCTGCTTGATTCGCTATGAAATCAGCGCCTTTTCGCGTCGATTCAGCTTTTCCGCTCCTGGGCCCGGCACAAAGCAAGTTCCCGACCTGTCCCTTGAAGAAAAGGAGAGGTTAATCGACGAGTGTCACCGGAGGCTCGAAGAGAAATACTTACGGCACTGCGACATGAACACACCAATCTACTGGGTGGCTGCGACGGTCGCGCGTCTCATCCTGGCCAAGATGTGGTTGATGGTGCACCATCCGCGAGCGTACTCCAACAACAACGAACCCTCACCAATGCCGCCGGAAATCCGGGATCGAGTCTTCATCACCTCAGTGGAAGTGATAGAATTCTCTCACCTGCTCGAGAAGAATGAAAACACGGCGAAATGGGGCTGGCTATTCAGGACCTATATGCAATGGCAGTCAGTGGCGTTTGCTTTGTCAGAGATCTGCGTGAGACCGCCTGGACCCGACGTAGATCGAGCGTGGCGCGCGGTCGAATCGGTCTATGGGCAACGAATGATGAACTCCAAGTATCAGAAAGGAATGCTGTGGAAACCCTTGCGGCATCTCATGGCCAGAGCAAAGGCCCGAAGAGCGGAGCAACAGGCACAGTCAAACCAGGTGCCGCAGAAGCAGGAAATCATATTCGCCGATATGGCCAATCCAACTCCGATGGAACGGTTCGTGCAAGACTATTCAGTCAGTGCTGCCAACGCGAATGCAATGGAGGCATTCGACCCGACAAGCGAGCAGCCCTACAACAATACGGGATTGGGCCTAGATCCACGAGTACCAGAATCTTTCCATGCAGCAACCGGCAGCACGACGAGGGAGAGCAGCCACGCCATAATGCAGGATGATCCCAGCGGTGCGGGAGTGAACTGGACGCCGGAGCACATGGCGATAGGGAGCAACGATATATTGGATTTCGGATGGTCGCCATCTGTTGGCGACTTTACAGTGCGAAGTGAACCCTTCCAGCGCTATTTTGTGACCATTCAAGAGAATTGGTTTTGACGAATCAATATGATAAGACGGGAATACCCAGGGAGCACTTCCATTGCTGTTCCCCCTCGCAACAAGCCCCTCCCAAATAGTACTCGGATACCCGACCAAGGAAAAAGTCCATCTGCAAGTGAGACTGATGGGCTGAGCATCGATTACATCGCTAAGTCCCAGATCGGGTATGGCATGGCTTATTGACGACATCTATTTCGGGGGACGAGGGGCATCATGAGCATTCTAGATGCTGGTGGTGTTGATTGTGGCTTTTGCGAGAGTAAGCGCCAGTTGACCAAACCCCTTCCTGCAATTGGTTCAGGCTCAAACGATTATTTCTTGGGGGCTCCCCTCAGGCACCGAGCCAGGGGTCCACGGGGCTCAGAGGCTGAAAGGCTTACCTGGAGCGGAGGCTCAGATGCTTAAACTCCCACTTTACTCTGCTAAGCTTCTCGGACCCCGTCAGGGCCATGCCATCGGTGGGCTCTGGCTGGCTCGAATCTATCCAGAGTCGTTAGGGGTGGATTTGGGCTTCCAGGCATTGGCTAGGCGACGCTCTCCCACCTCCAGTTACCCCTGTGCCTGGGCCAATCGACTGGATGTGCTGGGCCTTTGAAGCCACTCAGGTTCCATGCTGGCCACTATCCCTGCGCACTGCACGGACCTCCGCCATTGACTGGTTTGCGAGCATCAACGCCGTCAGGGGATCCATCATTCCCCATGCTTCTCTTTTCAGCTCAAAACAACATCTGAAACCCGCTTTTACTTGTTCTCGAAACAGACGCATTGTCGCCTGGCCACTCGTGCTCTACCGAGCAGATCTCTTTGCCCTATTTTTTTTGGTGATAATCTCACGGCGCCTGCTGACTTGGACTCTGTCTTCCTCTTCTCAACCTCTCGCTCTCACATCTTTGCTCATTCCTTCTTTGTGTCTGTACCGAATCTGAAGCTATCTCATTGCCTGCCTTCGCTACCTGTTCAGCGTTGATACTGTCCTTCATTGCACCAATCCAGTCCCATTTCCTCCAGAATATAAGTGTCGTAATCTCAGAACATCAGCTGCGAGCATGTTATATCACTCTCAATCCAAGATCAGGATACTGATCAGCCTGTTTCTGACCAGTGAGTTGCAATCTCTGCATTATCCCCAGCATTGACGGAAGGACCATCCTCGCTGACCATCGCACCGACTTGCAGCCTACATTTTCTCAGCGCAGGCCGCTGTTCCCTCTTCCACGTATGTCGGACGGGGCACCTCGCCGGACCCAAATGATAATATCACTGTTTCCATCAACGTGCCCAATGACAACTCCAACTCTCTCTTCTTCCACTTTTCGGCGCCTGCGGGCCAGACATGGGCAGCCTTCGGCCTTGGCTCTCAGATGGCGGGGGCGTTGATCTTTGTTACATATGCATCGGAGAACGGGAAGAATGTCACGGTCAGCCCTCGCCTCGGAAAGGGCCATGTCATGCCCCAACACACCTCGGACGTCCAGGTGGACGTTCTGAGTGGCAGTGGTATCATTGACGGATCTTTCGTTGTCAATGCGAAATGCTCCAATTGTCGGAACTGGAGTGGCGGCAATGTCAACATTGACAGCACAAAACAGTCCATGATCTGGGCCGTTGGTCCAACAGGCACCCTGAACTCCAACGATGACAACGCGCAAATCAGACAGCATGAGGGCTACAACTTCTTCGATCTCGACTTCAAGGCTGCAACGGGTACTGGCGGCGTCCCGGTCGTGAGCGCTTCTTCGGACACTGTGGTTGGTGGCGGTGCCATTGGTGGTGGTCACTTCCGTGGCGCTACTGGTTTCCACGCCTTCCTCATGGTGGCCGCTTTCTTGATCGTCTTTCCTGGAGGATACTTGTTCCTTCGCGTGTTCGAGAAGGTGTGGCTTCACTGGGGTGTCCAGTCGCTGGCCTTGCTCATGACAATTCTTGGTATGGGCGTTGGAATTGCTATTAGCAAACGAAACAACATTGTGAGCATCTTCCCAGTTCCTATATTTCTTGGAAGGACTAACATTTCTAGTCTCCTAATCTGACTGCTGGCCATCAAATCCTCGGCTTCGTCGTTGTCGGTCTTGGGCTTGTTACATGGGTTGTCGGGCTAGTTGGGCATCGCATTTACAAGAAGACGAAACAGCCCGCCAAGGTCATGAAGGGGCATCGTGTGCTGGGTCCTGCGACAATCACCCTGGGTCTGGCCAACTGTATCGTTGGTTTCCGGTTCGCCGACAACACCCGCGGCACTATCATCTTTGCTATCGCGATGGTCATCATGTTCATTTTCGTCGGGACTGTCACCTTTTTCAAGCGACGCCAGCAACAGCGAAAAGCGCCCATGAATACGCCAGCAGCGGCCAACTTCCGCGAGGGACAGCAATCCGAGCCGCCCAACTATACGGGAGAGGCACCGTTGCCCTTGTACGGCCAGGGTGGCATCCCCCTGCAGAGCTATGCGAACAACCAGGCTCCCCCGGTGTATCGCTAGGAAGGTGGGCTCGCAGATGGTCTGACTCGCGGTGGTGGCAACATGGGCTCCACGGGAGTTCTGGGTTCAACGTGGGCTCTAGGCTCAGCGTGCCCTCTGTGATGATGGTCGATGAAAGCGGTAACGAAAGAAAGCGTTGTTCACTTTAAGCTTGGGCGACTGTGCGAAAATCTGCAGGTATCCGGTGCGTTTATCGGCTGACGGCACGGTTTTAGTCCTCGCTATAATATACATGTTGTGTCACAGGGATATTTTATAAGACTATAGCGTGTTTCTCTCCTGACGATTGCCAGAGATCTGGTAAAAGGCAGAGTTCTATGAAACTTGAGGCCGCAGAAAAAGTCGTCCCATATGAAGTATAATGGCCGGGAGTATCTCACCGAACTGAGCAGATGCAAAGATATCCTGAGAGTACTGGATTCTTTTCTATCAACTTTGGCCAAGCCTATAGCTCGTTGCCACTTTTTCGTGTTCTGGCCATATCTACCTCGTACCGAGTACATCATTGCCCGTACTGCAACTCCATCAAATCTGGAGGGTCGTCGCGAATCATATTGTCCTTGGTCTCCGGGAGCGGCCTGAGCAAAGCCCAGAGGTTTGGGGCATTTTCCAGGTTCGTCCGCGAGCAGGGAATGCCTCTTTGATGGCAATTCGTGCATCCCTTGTCAGAATGCTTTTTGCAGATCCACTGCGATTGTTGCTGAGTGCTTGCAGAACCATCATCACCGCCACAAATGAAGCAACCGTCACAATTGGACCGCATGCCCCGCGGCGTCGGTCCAGGTGCTTGATCGTGACCTGCTGATCGAGGAAACTGTGCGTGACTTTCATGATGCGAACGGCTCCAAATTCGATCATCCAGCTGTAGTCGTTCGGGACGCATCGTTGCTCGAGGGAGCGGATGATTGCGACGGCTTTGGCATAGTTCACCAACATTCCCGGCACCTTGTCTGCTAGTCCCTGGACAACGCTCGAGGTTGTCGCGCTGTGGGAAACAGTGTCGAGCCCCGTGGAGCCGCAGCCCGGAGCGAATTCGAAGACGGTCTGCGATTGTATGTAGACCTTTTCCCACATTTTGTCGGGGAGCTGGAACTCAACGCAGAATGCAATTGGAAACGGGCCCGAGCTTGGGGAATCGCGCCCACTGTACTGGGTGTTTGGAAGTCTCAAAAGTGGGATAGATCAAAGCCCCTGGCTGGATGTCGGCCAGGGAGTTGTTTGCCCTCGCGGCGGAGGTAGTGATGGTAAAATGGAGTCGAGGGTCTGACGTGTGAGTCGCGTTCCATGCATACAGGACAATGCGGCCGGATACGGTATCTTGAACGGCCTTGAACGCCCTTGAACGGCGCTTGCCTATAGATACTGGCTCGGCCTGGTAGAGTTGATTTCGTAAAGACTGGCTTGTCCTGGACGTCTCCTTAGTGACATTTGGATCTGAGGCTGGAGGAACAATTGTGGGCAGCCCGACCGCATTGACACGACCGATTTCAAGGGCCCAAAAGTTGACGTATCCTTGTTGACCCTTGCAGTAGACTTGAAACCAAGGAACAGCATTTGGACGTCCCTGAGGATAATTGCCCTTGTCGTCATGCCCCCAGTGTAGTCGAAGAACTTGTCTTTAATCACCTTTCTGAAGTGCCAACACGCCTTGGTGGCTCGATGGATGGTCTACATTACACACAAATGGAAACCCTAGCGGCCACACTGTGACCTTATCCTCGGGTATGTTGCCAGTCCGTTTGCCCTGGGTGGTGTTGAGCTCAATCTGAAACAACCAAGGAGGGTTTGGGTTTTGAGCATTAGGAGCCGCCTTTTTTCTGCCGAGTACTTTCTCCTTGACGGCGCGCTCGAATGTGAAGTCTGGAGCTTTCGGAAAGAAAAACTTTCAGGGAGTCTTGCGCTGATATGTCAGACTGACGGGGTAGTTTTGGAGCAGATCTGCCCATACCTTTTGAATGCGAGGAGCGTGTTCCTCAGCGAGGGCCGCCCTCCCCTTCGCCACCACCATGCCTTCTGCTGGGAAGATAAAGACGTCCGCCAGCAAGATAAAGTTGCCCGTCAGTACGGAGGTAAAGGCGTCTAACAAGAACACGACAGGTACTGTTCGAGAGGGCAGTCCCGCCGTGCGGCCGTCCACTGGGCGTAAAAGGAAGTTTGACGACGAGGACGATACTGTGCGCCCAGGCAAAAGATTACCGAAAAGAAATTTCAAATCAAGGTCAAATAAAAAGGCCCTTTAAAGCATTTTGCTGTCTGCAGATACATTGGTATGATACTGACAAGACCCAGCAATTGTTCCTGTATTTTCTCTGTTCTTTCTCCTGGCGTTTGGTGTTCGGCTTTAGAGTAATGGCTGCCCCGACCAATACTTACCGATACTGACCTTGTTTAATTCGCATTTGGCTTGTACTGGTGGTGTTCGACACTCACACCCACCGTGCTTGTGATACTCGACACTTACACTCGCTGTTCTTGCAGTGTTCACTGCTTGCCATCGCCAAATCACCTTGGGCCTCATGAGGATCTGGCCATCATTATCGTCATGGGCAGAAAAAACGGATCTTCTTCGTCTGATCTGTCAGCGTAACCATATTTCGCAAAGTATATCGAGGAACCATTTTGAACGAAGCGTTCGTACGACACATTTCTAAGTATATACAACCTCGAAACAACCAAAGAGCTATGACAGGTTTTGATCACAGCCAGCAGATACGTTGTATTTTTATATCTTGAATTAAGTTTCCCTCGCATGTGAGCTGTCAGGGCCGTGTTATTCGTTGGCCAGGCGCGCACGGACCTGCTGCAAGCAATCAAATCTACTCACTCTTGCCATGGCACGCATGGACAACCCCAAACTTCAAACTTGGAGATTGGAGCACATATTGCCGGAGTTGTTTCGGCTGGAGGTGGACAGATTCTTGTGTAGAGCCTTGGCCCATGGATAGAAGATTTAATTTCCTATAATAGACGCAGAGAATCTAGACCAAACTCAAATACTACCTTCCTCGCCTATTAAGCCAATATACAGTATGTAACCACACAGATTCTCGATGTACCAGTATTTCTATCCTACCTGAACCACCCGTTTACTCAGCACTAATGTCTACATTCAGTAATAGGACCAGACCCTTGTCAGTCCACTAACATAAAACTAAGTGAGAACTTGTTTTGACGAGTTAACATTCTCGGGGATGTTCGTCGTGATAGAGTATGTCTCTGGAGTTTTGGACGAACGGACGGTCCAAACACCCTCCCAACTCTAGACGAAAGTCGGCGTAGTCAGCTGTTTCTGACATTTTTGGGTCACTGTCTGTGGGATTCGAGAGTGACAGCGTTGTCGACCACGTGGATGTCGCTATACCTGGCTTTCTGAAGCGGTAAGGATTGGCCAGGCCACGGATGAGGGCACCGAGACGGATAGGGACCAGAGCACCATGTCCGCGGCCCAAGCATGTCCTCTGTCTTGTGGAGGAACGAGCATACTCCTCAACGAGCATCAAATGTGGGATTGACCAGATATTGACCGCCACACTTTTCGGCAGTTGCTGATCATCCTCCACGGCCTGAGGGTCTCTTTGAGAAGTAACAAGGCTTTGATGGGCGTACCAAGGAGCTAGCCCGGTCACTCCCCGTGAGCTTGATGTTGACCACACATCCACAAACATCTGGGAGACGGTGATTTGTTAACCGGGCCGCCTCCGCAATAGCTCCCCACGTTACTCCATACTCTGCATCCACCAACTTACTCCTTTCTCCAAAAGATGGCAGGATCTGTGGTAGTGTCCCCAGAGGAAATCATGGGTGCCATGTTGTATATCTATGGCAACTCTCGCTCCAGCAAGGGGCTTGTGCTGCTCCTTGCATGGTGCTTCAGGTATCCTGACCAACGACCAGGCCAACGCTCAATATTCCTAGCGGTTGGTCACCTCTACCTTCATAACACAGCCCCTGGTGGACTTTCGACAAGATGGTTGGCGGTGCTCCTGTTTCTGCCAACCCCCTCAAGCTCGACGTGCTAAGTCACAGGAAATGTCTTGCCATATGTGTAGTGGCTACTATGGCCACCTTCCAGTATGGCCTTGATTACGCGCTCGTGGGCGGGTTCCTTTCAATGCCCGGCTTCCTCGAGGTTTTCGGGTACTATTCAGAGGAGCTGGGCACTTGGAACATTGACCCGACCGTGCAGCAATTGATATCGTCGTTGATGACGATAGGTACTTTTGTTTCGTCGTTGCTGGTTGGACCCTTCAGCGCGAAATTTGGAAGAAGGCATGGCCTTTGGGCAGCCACACTTCTCAACTTCGTGGCAACCAGCATCCAGCTGGGAACAAGGAGCAAGGCAGCTCTTTATGTTGCACGTCTTATCTTGGGTGCGCTATAGAAATCCATGTTCTCCTGTCCATCTTCTGCTGACTTATCTCCGAGGTATCTCCGTCGGCTGGTTTCTTACCTTTGCTCAGCTATACGTCCATGAGGCCGCACCCGCACACCTGCGAGGCATCTCATTTGCTGTGTATCAAGTCATGCTTTCCATTGGGTCCATTGTTGGCGCAAGCGTTGACTTTGGGACGCATACCATGACCGGCCGGGACGCATATCAAATCCCCTTGGCAATCTTCTTTGTGGCACCAACTCTACAGGCCATCCTCCTCTTTTTCTTCGCGCCTGAGTCGCCAAGGTGGCTGATGGTCCAGAGGAAAGAGGAGTCCGCCGAGGCCGCGTTGCGGAGACTTCGAAATTCGAATATCGACGAGCTAGAGTTCCAGGCGGAGTTGAATGAAATCCGACAGTCAACCAGAGAACAACTAGAACAGAACAAGAAAGCTCTATTCTTGGAGATGTGGCGAGGCACAAATCTGCGCAGAACTCTCCTTTCTATCGCTGTCGTTTGTTTTCATTCGGCAAACGGGTAAGTGCACTTCCTTTTGTCCCAGGACACGGCTGACGCGCAAACAGATCCAGCTGGGGTATTTCTCTATATCTCCAATGTTTTTTCGATCTACAGGGCTAACATAGACGCACAGTTAACATATATACTGTCTATTACTTGCAAATGGCTGGTGTAAAGAACCCTTTCGCATACTCAATCTTGGTCACTTGTACCGGCTTGATTGGGGTGCTGGTCAGTTTCTTCTTCGTGCGACTTATCGATCGACGTACAGTGCTCTTGGTCGGCCTCACGGCATGTGCCATATGCCAGCTGATCCCAGCGATTGCCTGGAGCACGAGTCCCGGAAGTGCGTCGACAGGAAAAGTGGTTGTCGCCTTCATCGCCCTCTTCACGTTCTTCTATGTTGCCTACGGTTTGTCCCGCCAATTTCCAAGCTGGTTCAGAGCAGAACTAACAACAAGATAGCACCTTATGCATGGCTCTTGGGTGGCGAGTACGTCAACAATCAACTGCGTGCGTTCACGTTCGGTCTGGCCACCGCAATGAACTTTCTTGGCAACTGGGCTGGGACTTTTTCAGCCCCTTACTTCATAAACCCAGCCAAGTTTGGCTGGAGCGCCAAGTACGGATACATCTGGTTTGGCAGCAACGTGGTTTGCGTCGTTTTCACCTATTTCTTCCTGCCCGAAACGCGAGATCGTACCCTGGAGGAGATCCACGAGATGTTCGAGGCGAGGCTGCCGGCAAGGAAGTTCAAGGGCTATGTCTGTACAGGGGTGGAGAGCTACGCGGCAGAGGCAATGGGGAAGGACTTGGGAGAGATGAAGAATGTCAGTCATACATCTCATGTGGAGGAGTTGCGAGAGGCGTGAACCCCTTCTACAAGATTGGTGGTATCGCGCAACGTAAGCGAATCAGGTGGAGGGAAACTGAAAAGTTGATCCAAACAAACAATGAATAGAACGTTCTTCGAAGCTCTATTCTTATCTTGACGCTCTTCTTGCCCCAGTTTGAGAGGGGAGTACCGAGTACACCGTGTGCTCTGGTGCCTCTATACAAGATTGGATTGACGTTGGCTCGGTGTATAAAACCCCCGATTCTCCACTTCGAGACCCATTGCGGCGAGCAATAAGCTTCCGCCAATTACAACCCTTGCTCTTCGAATTCGACCGCAATTCTCAAATTCCATTCATTATCCTGCGTCAGTGTTGATCTGAAAACCGACTTGTAGCCAAACCTTTGCGCCAGTGATCCCAGACAGGACGACCGTCTCGCCCGGTTCCAATATCCAGCGGCTCCCATCAGTTTCTACCGCCAACACAATGCCTCTCGACACAATCTCAACATACTCCCACACCTTGCTCCGACAGGATGGCCGACGATGGAATGAGCTGCGGCGCATCACCGCCTCCATTTCAACTCAGCCTTCGAGTGATGGATCCAGTATGCTCACTATGGGCAACACAGTGGTACTGTGTACAGTGACGGGACCAAGAGAAGGGTGCGACTCGACAACTTCGCGGTGAATATTCTGACATTTAGAACTAACATTTTCCTGCTCGCAGACGCGGCCAACGCGACAACAACAATGCCATAGTCGAAACCGACTTGAACGTTGCCCCCTTTGCATCGATCGAGCGACGCCGGCGAACCCGCACCGACAAACAAATCCAAGAACTTCAATCCACGATATCCTCATCATTTCAGTCCCACCTCTTCACGTACTTGTATCCGCGCTCTCTAATCACAATTTCCTTGCACGTCTTGAGCCTCGATGGAGGGCTTCTAGTCGCCTGCCTGAACGCAGCAAGCCTAGCCTTGGTCGACGCCGGTGTGCCCATGCCAAGCATCCTCGCCGCCGTGAGCTCCGGGATCATTGTCCCTACAGATGACTCAAAGGCAAAAGTGGAGCCGGTGCTGGATTTGAACAATGCAGAAGAGCAGGAGCTGGCATATCTTACCCTCGCCACAGTGTCTGGGGGCGAGAAGCAGGAGGATAAAGTGTCGGTGTTGATGATGGACTCGCGGGTCGAGATTGCTGCCAGCACCGGGAAAGTGGAGGCCATGTTGGCCACCGGTGTGGATGGCTGTAAAGAGGTGAGAAGGAAGATGGAGGATGTGGTCAAGAAACACGGCGCCAAGGTCATGATGAGTCGGCGGTGACCTTGCCGTGATAAGACGACGCATGCGAGGATTGATAAGATGGAGCTTGATTGCTCGTCTTACCTTACGGCAGACGTCAACCGGCTTGTCTCGACTTGCTCAAAGGCCAATCCAGCCTACACACTGCGATTGGAGGCTAACGAGATATTTGGTCCCACGCGGGGAGAATACGGCCGCGTGAGTGCGATAGATTTTAAGAGCAATGGATAAACTCAGCGAGACCAACTTGGATGAAGTGTTGTGTTATATCCATGAAACGTCAGCGCTTGGAGGGTCCTGCAGAAGGCAAACACGAAAACAACCTTTCAGATCGTCCATCGAAGCCTGTCTTGCAACCTTGGACCGACATGATCTTCTCCTATTCCACTTCTCCTTCGACCTTCTGAATGATGTCCACCAAAGCGTCAGTGCCTTCGTCGAGCTACTGCTTCGGCTCTTCCGACAATCGTCTCTGTTCTGTCGCGCGACTCTGTGCCACAACGTCAGCCGATCATGGAGACGGCAAATTTGGGAGATCCAGGTAACGTGCCCATGAGGTGTTCTGGGTGGTAATCCTTGATGTTGGAGTATTGGCATGCTCATCCTCATCCGCACTATCCTGGCACATGTTCTTGAGGTAGGCGATCACACCCTTGAGAGTCTTTGCCGGTTGGCTATCTTCGATCTGGGCTCCTGAGAATCAGTCGAGAAAACGTCCCAGGAGCGGCGTTTTAAACTGGCGTCTCGCATACTGTTTTCCTCGTCGCAACGGATCTATGTGTAACGATTCCGTTGTGAGTTTGTGTCTTGAAAACGACGCCGAACGAGGAAACCGAGGCGTACGGGGAGCACTGACTGCGGTCAAGGCCCGTGTCTCGTGACGGTCGAGCAGCCACAGGGGTATGCGATAAAGTGGTCAATGATATGTGTTTGTGGTTGGGGAGAGCAGTCATGATGTCAAGCTAACTACACCAGCTTTGGACAGAAAAACCACCAGCTTGAAGTAGGGTGAGCATCAGCATCTTCTATTGCTTGGACGGGGTTGATATTGCGACAAGATGAGTACTTGCTCTACTCGGCGGTTACAGTCTCATCACTATTCGCATGGGTGGCCGCGATCAAATTCTTACTTGGCTAAGTTATTCGAAATGATACTAGCACATGCGTACGATTCAACATGCTCCAGCCATCAGACCGAGCACAATGAAACGATTTACGGCCCTTGGTGCATAGAGACGAGAAACCACTAAGATTTCCAGGCCAGAAGAAAAGGATGTGTTTGTGCTACGTCCCTTTCATCAGCTCTACTGATCGTGGCATCAAGAAGGTCATCCGAGAGTTTCACTTTGACCTCTACGTATTCCGATACCTAGAGAGATCGCAACCTAGTCGAGAACACATATACAACCACTTCGAGCACTGACAAGCACTTGTTCCCACCGAGCCTGAGTCTCGGTGTGGCTTTGTATGTGTTTTGAAAGACTTGCCATCTATTAGAGTGAGGACCGTATAAGATGTTTCCATTGGTGGTTTACGTGGAGTTACACTATATGGTATGTTTTTGGGAGGAAATAAGGGTGAAATCCGGAGGCAATTTTGTAAAGGGTCAGGAATGGTACGATTATCTCGCACTCAGCATTGTACGAGCATCAGATTGTTTAGGGTCAGTGGACTGGAGTTTCGGCGCAGGGAGATGCAGGCTGGTGCGGCGGCGCGACAACGCGCGTTGTAGTGGCACAGATGCGAACATCTCATGCAGGTACAGAACCTGTCAAGGCGTCATGGCCAATTGTTTCTTTGGAGAAGCAGCTGGTGCTAACAGAACTCTTGAGATGCCGAATCGGCCCACAAGGGAGAAACCTGCATTTGATTGATCTTCAGCACTTTTTTCACCCTCTAATCAGGGCAATCGGCAAAGAAGCTGCACCAACTGTGGCGGTGAAACTGTTGGAAGCGGCCCAATCATCCGAGTTAGTTGGATAAAGGATGTGGACCTGAACAACCCCAAAGGACCAAAGAAAGGCTCCCATCCTGGACTAGGGGGCTGGAGATACGAGTACACTAGTATCCAGCCGGAACCCTGCCTAGGCACCACCCCCCGGGAACAAACCTGCTGGAAATTTTATGGGCGAAGACACCATAGATCGCATGGGTCGCTTCACGGCTTCAATCACCTAGGACCGAGTTATATCTCCCTATGCTTCACCCCTGCGACTATTTCCCTCCACCCTCCCTCCCTATCCCGAATATCTTTTTGTTCAGCCCTTCAATCGCTACCGAGTGACCTGCTGTTGCCCTCGCTTACACAAGGTACACCTCGAAACACACCAAATCGCAGTTTGTACCTGATTCTCCAACTACATTGGTATGTCGTCGCCTCCTTCATATTACCCTGGTTGACCGCCACTTGAGATGCGACCTTTCTTTGATCTTTGTCTTCGTTTCGTGCAACTTACAAAGTGACGTGCAGGATTTGTGCTGTTCCTCCGAGCATGGAAAGATAGACGTCGACAGCCCTCGTCCCACCATCCTTGTCACCGCCCCGACGACACCCTACTTCCTCAAAATGCGAGGCTCCCACCTCCTCCCCAAGCAATTGCGCTCCCTGGCCAAAACCGACAGCTGGCTAAACCGCACTGTCACTTCCAACCTCCTTGCTATCTCCAACCTCGCTTGCCAACACCCGATTCACACCGTTGTCGCAATCGCATTGTTCGCCAGTACCTCTTACGTCGGTCTGCTGCAAGAAAGTTTGTTTGACAGTGGCATTAAATCGTTACAACATAATGGACGAGTAGATGTGGAGGCTTTGTTACAAGGGAGTAGAACATTGGAACTCTCAGAGAGAACAGCATGGAAGTGGCAATTCCCAGACGATTCCAGCGTCCCTTTGGCGCCTCTGGTATGTCAATTCAGATTCGGAGTGATGATGAGATACTTGCAGCGCTGACATTATGCACGCAGGGCTCAAACCATTACGCTTTGACAACCTTTGTGTTCCCGGACTCTTCCTCGTCTCAGCTGGCTCCTGATGCCAATGCTGTTCCTGTACCAGCGAACGTCACGGCCACTGGCATCCCGACCACTTCCCATTTGCTCTCTCCTATATCGCACGATACTTCCCTGGCCTTTTATACCTCATTTTCAGAGCTTCCTGATTTCTTGCGCGCTGTTCAGGAGCTCCCGACACAACATGAGCGGTCCGATGATGAAGGCCGCCCGTCTTGGACCATGAAAGGTGTTCGCCTAAATGGAAACAGCCCACGTGGTACCTACCGAACGTGGCTGAGTGAAGGCTGGTCCTCTTTTGTCGATCTGCTAAAGCATGCCGAAACCTTGGACATTATCATCATGTCGCTCGGGTACTTGTCCATGCACCTCACGTTTATCTCCCTTTTCCTGTCCATGAAACGTCTCGGTTCGAATGCCTGGTTGGCTATCTCAGTCTTGTTTTCGAGTCTATTCGCGTTTCTCTTCGGATTGGTGACTACAACCAAGCTCGGGGTCCCGATCAATATGGTTTTGTTGTCAGAAGGCCTCCCCTTTTTGGTGGTCACAATTGGGTTTGAAAAGTCCATCATTCTCACAAAGGCTGTTTTGTCTGCGTCTTATGACAAGAATCGGCGAGGCCTTGAGACCGGAGCGGCGAACGGCAGCGCCAGTGGCCCAGCAGCTACGACAATTGGCCCGAATTCCATCCAAGATGCTATCCAAATCGCAGTCAGGGACA